TTAAGCTCAGATGATGAACTGAGTGAGAGTGACGATGAAATATCTTCAAGCTCAGGTGACGAGGATGATGTGGACATTAATTGGTCAGAATTAGCCAATGGGGTAGGATTAGATACAAATACAGTTCAAATGTTGTGGGATGTTGCAAACAGCTGTATAACATCTCAGAGAAGAGAAGAAAGCAACGTTGAAAAAGTTAGATCAGGTGAGAAAGACGATGGAAGATCTTTAAGCTCAGATGATGAACTGAGTGAGAGTGACGATGAAATATCTTCAAGCTCAGGTGACGAGGATGATGTGGACATTAATTGGTCAGAATTAGCCAATGGGGTAGGATTAAATACAAATACAGTTCAAATGTTGTGGGATGTTGCAAACAGCTGTATAACATCTCAGAGAAGAGAAGAAAGCAACGTTGAAAAAGTTAGATCAGGTGAGAAAGACGATGGAAGATCTTTAAGCTCAGATGATGAACTGAGTGAGAGTGACGATGAAATATCTTCAAGCTCAGGTGACGAGGATGATGTGGACATATGGTCAGAAATTGAAAAAGGATTAGCCAATGGGTTAGAATTAGATGCAAATGCAGTTCAAATGTTGTGGGATTTTGCAAACAAAGGTAAAACATCTCAGAGAAGAGAAAAATGCAATGTTGAAAAAGTTAGTTCAGGTGAGGATGAAGATGGGAGATCTTCATACGAGAAGACAAGTGTGGACGAAGCTCTTCCAAGCACGTCCTCCGAGATCTCGTACGAGCAAACCCCGCAACATCAGAGGGAAAATAATGGATGTAAGGTTAAAGAAAAATCATCAGTGAGAGCAGGAAAGAGTTCAGGAGTAAATAAAAGTGGAACCTCTATCACAGGAGCCAAAGCTCAGAGGTCTCTGATTTCTGGCAGAGAGACTGAACCAGAGTCCTCACAGGTAAGCGAGACTAAAGCGTCAGTCACATCTGGAAAATACCTGAAGGGACTGAAGAAGATGTGGGGTATGTTTAAGAAGAAATTTTAGTTTTTTTTTTTACATAGGAAGTCAAGATCAATTTCATTGTGTTTTGATAATAAGTTCGAGCATTTGGCTTTTATGTACATCACTTTGGTTAGCTGCCATGCTATTTTGAAATGGTGCTTTATAAATAAATAGGTGTTGTAAATGCAGTTTAAGCAACTTTTTTGTTCAAAGTTTCACCACAAGATGGCACTGTGATTTTGTGAATGCCCCAGAAAGTTTATTTAACATGTTTATGTAAAGTCTTATTTTTCATGTTTTCAATACATTTTGTAGCATTTTCAGGCACACAGAATTAATCATTTTTGATATTTGAGTAATTTTGAATTTGGTTATTTTGATAAGGTGTGTTTAAGAGCGCTGTGATGTCACTTCCTGTCTCTTGTAGCTTCTGAGATTTTATTGATGTGCACGACAATTTGTGCCAATTCAGAACATTTGAGAAGAAGGTTAAGTGTTTTCAAGTCTACTGGTTTGTCTACTAGCAGGCCAAAGTGGTATGTTTATTCTTTATTTATAAACTCTGTATGTTAGCAAACTTAAGGCAAATAACTTGTTAATTTGTACATGATTTATACTTTTACAGGTGTGGTATGGTAAATAAAACTTTTATAAAAAAAACATAAATGTATAAAATACACAAAATAAACAATAAAATAACACACAAATAAACATCCCTCCCGCAGAATCGCCACCTTACCGTGGTGGGAGGGTTTGAGGACCTCCATGTTCCTGGAAGCTCTGTTGTCTGAGCCATCAGTCCCATAGGGTCTCCATGGCAGCAGGGTCTCAGGAAGGCGGTCGGACTAAGCGCGATTCAAACACCTAAAGATTAGACCTCCTCTATGTGGATGAGAAGAGCGAGCTCTTCCACGTAGAGGAGATGCTGTCCACGGCCAGTCTTGTAGATCATTTGGTAGACGGGCAGCCGTGTGATGGAGTCCACTACTGCGTTCATATTGATACCTCATCTTGGTGAGTTAATGCCACGCGTTAGCCTAGAAAACATGCTAGCTTCATACTAAACTTAGCATTATGTTACCGCCGAACCGCGGATGGATTTTTCAGTTCAAAAGCAGTGAAAACTTTATTTTGGTGAACCCACTGATTTATGGAAGCACTTTTAGTTCTTTTTGCACTCTTTATTTTGATTGAAATGTTTGTTGAGTGTTAAATGTACTTCTAATAGTTTACTGTGTGAACGTTTACAAAAGTCCTTTTGTAAATGTTAATCCTGGTACCCCAGGTAGGGTTTTACCGATTTAAAGGATAAATTTAAAAGAATAGCGTTGGTATAAAACCCATACTACTTGATGAGGTTGTTGAGTTGTATGTATTCCATGTTACGCTTTGGAACAAAAAAACTTAAAAGGTATTTTGAGTTGAACTAAGAAAAAACATGCATGTCTTGGGGCGGCGGTGGCACAGGAGTTAAGTGCTCGCCCCATAATCGGAAGGTTGCAGGTTCGAGCCCCGCTCAGTCTGTCGCTGTCGTTGTGTCCTTGGGCAAGACACTTAACCCACGTTGCCTGCTGGTGGTGGTCGGAGGGACCGGTGGCGCCAGTGCTCGGCAGCCTCGCCTCTGTCAGTGCGCCCCAGGGCACCTGTGGCTACATTGTAGCTCATCCCCACCAGTGTGTGAATGGATGAATGACTGGTTGTGTTGTAAAGCGCCTTGGGGGGTTTCAAGAACTCTAGAAGGCACTATATCAAATACAGGCCATTTACCATTTATTGCTGTTGTAACATAATGTGATGGACAGAAGACGGAAGCTGCCAGGCTCTGAGGGTGTGGTGATTGGACACCGGCTGGTCCTCATTATGGATAACGAGGACAGGTCTACCGAGAGGTGTGCGTGGTCGACCGGTCATTGTGTCATCGGACTTTGGGGGGTGGGGTCGTTCGCAGTCGGTTAGGGCTGCCGGCGACGAAGACAGTTAAGCAGGCGTACAGCGTTCCAGTGTTAGGAGGGAAGGCTTGTCGCCTTCTTTAGGCAGCGAGGGCTGGGCATAGTGGATGCCAAGACCATGCCGATATCTGCCGCCACGGACTCTGGCAGTAAGACTTACGCTGTGGATATACCCGCCGTCCTCGCAAGCTGCATCCCGAGGCGTTGGACGGCGCTGGAAGCTCAGACCCCGGGGAGGGGGGGTCACAACATCTGAGACAGCTAAGTACCGCTGCTTGTGTTACTCAAGCTGGACAGCTGGTTTTATGATTAGGGACTCTGGCCATAGTGTTTTATTAGTGTGTCTTATTATTGAGTATGTAATAAAGTGTATCGTTTTATAAGTCGTTGCCTACTGGTGGTGTTTTTGGGTTCTGTCTGGAGGGCAAGATATTCTGCCCGTGCGCCCACTGAAACTTACATTACAATAAGAACTGGAGATACAAAATTAAGCTATAGCTGTGAAAAGAAATAGAAGTTGAGTTTTAGTTATGTACAATAATTTCATTATTATTGTGCAGGCTAAGTTTTTATCCATGCCGATTAAGAACTGGATCGGATTCCTGGATTCTTTCCGGATGGAGATGGCGAGCCTTTGCCCAGAACCCAAAGACACTTCGATTGAAAACCCATCACTCTTCTCACCGAATGTGAACACCAAGTGGTAACAACTCAAACCACTGAACCAGAAAGAACTGAAACTGAAAGACGCTTTGACTTGACTAACGACTAAAAGGACAACTCAACTATTGAGTCCAAAATGAGACTGGGGTTTTATTTTGTTTATTTTTTGGGCCGGCTCAGAGTTGTTGATCTGAGTGTTGCATTGTTAAAACTGTATTCTCATTTCACATTTTTCTAACTAAATATTTTCTATTTTTGCTCATTTCCTGCCTCCTGCCGTTTCCTTTTGCACCCACCTTAGTTCCTATTGTAATCCTGCCGAGCCTAGCTGCTGGTCTATCTAAACATTCCTGATCTTAAGTTATCTAACTGCGTCCAGGGTTACGATAGCCACAGTTAAGTCAATACTGGATTGCCTAGATGAAGTTAGTGCATGGACGGCCTCTAGCTTTTTAAACTTTGATGAGGGCAAAACAGGTAATCGTTTTTAGTCAAATCCTCTAAACAGGAAGTTGACCTCTCTTCGCTGGCCCCTTTTTAAAAAAGAGCTTTTTCATCTTCACCGTTTATCCAGGATCAAGCCGCTAGTGTCACAAGCTCATCTGGAGACCGTAGTCCATGCTTTTATTACTTCTCGCCTAGACTACTGCACTTGATCGACTCCAGCTTGCACAAAACGCTGCTACTAGATTCCTGACCAGCACCAGAATGTGGGAACACGTCACACCTGTCTTAGCCAATCTGCACTGGCTTCCAGTATCTTTCAGAGTTCAGTTCAAGATACTTGTTTTTGTTTTCAAGTCTCTGCAGGGCTGTGCTCCAAGTAATTTAACCGAGTTACTCACCCGATATAAACCATCCTGTGCACTTAGGTCATCACAGCAAGACCTACTAGTTGTCCCAAGAGCAAAATGCTTAACCAGAGGAGGCAGGGCTTCTTCAGTTTTGACCCCCAAGCTGTGGAATGGTCTTCTGCTCGAGGTTCGACAAGCACCCTCACTGCCGGTTTTTATGAGTCGGATGAAGACTCACTTTTATACAGTGGCGTTCCCGCAGCATGTGAGCTGGTCATATTTTTAGATCATTTAGCAAAATTTATTCCAGTTTTATTTAACTTATTTTATCTTGTTTTTTATCATTTGTTGCTCTTACCTCCTGCTCTTATCTGTTCTCATTTGTTTTTACATCTATTTTTGTTGATCATTGTATGGGTCAGCGATGCTTTTAATGCACTTTGGTTTGCCTTCTGGCAGTTGGAAGGTGCTATATAAATAAAGCTGATGATGATGATGAAGGACACGACAGCAGAATACCCGAGCGGGAGCTGGGATCGATTTCCATCTGTTCACTAGGCAACCCACCCTATCTCCTGAGCTGCTGCTGTGCCTTCAAAACATACAAAACAAAAAATCTAACTACTAAATGAAATAAAACTTTATTTCAAGTCAATTTATTTTGAAAACACTTGAATGAGAAAAGGCATCATGGTCTCCCGATGGCGGGATATGAGGAACACATACTTCCTGTTAGGCTTAACTTTCATTGCAAAGTGAGACTCTGTCGACGAAGGGACGAAACGCTGACAGGCCTCAGTAATGTCATATGGAAACTGTGCAGGGATGGAAGGCAATCACTTCCTGTACAGTCATCAGTAACTCAGCTATACATTCAACATAATAAAACATCTATTGACGTATTAAATACAGTAGACTATCCCCTATACAATACAATCAGCTGCAAGCTTTGTGGAGGATCCCCACAACACCCCTTGTTTGTTTTCCTTATTGCACTCCATTTGGGGAGTGTTTTCAAGTTTTATTCCTTTCACTGTGATTCAGAATTACTATTACAAACTGTAAAGAATCTAAGGAAAACAATTAAAGACATCCGATTAAAATCAACAGTAATGAAGGTGATAAAAGACAAGAATGTTCAAATTTGAGGAGAATTGAAAGTAAACCAGTTTACAGCCACAAAGAAAGAAGTAGCTGTTCATTCATAATATTAATAATAAATGGCATAATCTATGCTGTACTTTTGTTTACGGACTCGTAATCTCTTTAATAATCTTTTTGTTCAGATAAAGTACGAATAAGAAATACGCCATCGGTGAATTTGTGCTAAAGGATTTGGCGATTATCTGCAGCAAGAGCACTTTTGGTTAAGTCTCAATTCAAAATATCTCTTTTCTGGCAAGCAGAAACACAACTAGTAACGAATTATTGGTGCTGACTGGATGTCACAATCTGGTTCAGAGGACCAAACAATGTTACCATAAAGTCCAAAAACCTATATATTTTCTATTTGTCTTGATTATTCTGCTTTTTCTTTGGCACCGTCCACTTTCTGCACTGGCTCCGGATCATCCAGCAGAGCTTGTTGTCGCTCCCTTTCCTTCACAAGCTGCACACCGCAGTAGGTCACGAGCAGCACCGACAGGGTGGACAGAGGGAAACCTAAACAAACAGAAGGAAGAGGGAAACAGGGATCAGTTTCAGGCCTGATAGTCAATTTTTCATCTCAAATTTTCAAACTTAGCTCATCTCATGATGATAAATGATAAACTTTGGTCATATTTTGAAAATGACATTATGTGTCATCTGTTAACATTCAAGTGTGAGAATGAGTCTCAGTTGCTTTCGTGTCAGAAAAAAACGACGGCTAAAAAGTTACTACGTGTATGTTAAAGGTAGGGCTGTAGCGAAGCCTCGATGACGTAGACGGCTCGATTCTAAAAATTTGTCGACGTCAGATCCGGAAGTCGACGCACCGCGCCCACTTGTTGCATCCCCAGGAGTTTGTAAATAGAGGTGGAATCTGCCCGTTTTTCCTCTAGTTCGCCCTCTTCTCCGCCTTCACTAACATCTCCGCCAAATACCGAAGACCCGGAACAATGTCCGTCCACTACTAGATTCCTTTCCTGTTTTGCCCGCCTTCGTCTCCCGGCAACGGACAACAACTTCCGGGGTCAGATGCGCTGCTTCGTGTCTATCGCAGATGTAGAAAATCACCGGGAGCGTTTCTCCCTTCATAAAGGAGCTTCTTTCAGACATGAGGAGAGCTGTTTTGGTGGTAGCAGTCTCTCCTCCGTGCTGGTCTGTTTGCTGCTGGGTGTTTTTGGTTTATTTAAACTTGGTAACTTGAAATTAACGTTGGTAAAGCTACTGTTAGCATCTTCGCTAACAGCTTCTTGCGTTGGGATAAGCTGTTACGTTTTGGTTTAGAGTTCATCTTTTTTGTGGTGTAGATCTCCCTTTTATTACATTTAGAGTGTTGTGGGTTTTCGGTTTAGTGTAAAATATCACCTGAGTTTGGTTTAACCCGTAACACCACTCGCCTCATGCACATAAGTGACCAAAACAAAGCAGCATGGAGACACTCCATCTTCTACCACCTCTCAGGCAGCAGCCTGCACTCCCAAGTTCTACACGTCATCAGAACATAACCAACCGCAACACAATAAAAGCAGTGTTATACAAAATGGAAGGCCTGTAGTGTTTATTCTCTTACAGTAAGAATTTATCAATTTTTTTGAGGAATTTATTTGAGATTTTCTGGTTTTTGTTAATTGTGCAATAGAAAAATAATCATTAGATTAGTTTTCTAAATAGTCATTAGAATAGTCGACTATTCGATAAAATAATCGTCAGAATAATCGTTTTAAAAATAATCGTTTACCCCCAGCCCTAGTTAAAGGTGTGTTTCACTCGTTTAATCAATACATTTACAGTGGTCTCTAGTAGGAATGAATGCCTTGTAAGTCGTACTCCGGGGAAAAGCGCCAGTGCTCCAGTTTCAGGAAGTAGAAATGAGCCACATCAGCTGAGCTTCAGACCAATGGCGGTTTTAAACAGGGGCCCACAGGGGCCTGGGCCCCTGTAGAACCGGCCCTGGCCCCTGTTATGGCCCCTGTGCTGAAGAGATCGGATTTTTTTTTCCCGCGCTGCCTCGGAGACGGGAATTAATGTGCTGCAGCGTTTCACACGGAGCCTTTAAAGCGCAGCACACTCTGTGGACAGAACTGCTTACGCGGTGGATTTTTGAATACAAGATTAAAAATAGTTTAAATGGGACCCGAAGAAGTTCTTGAGGACGTCAAACGGAAAAGACGCTAAGAGACGAAGGTAGGCAATACAGTTTATTTTCCTGACATCAATGTTTTGATCGTAGTCGCGCGTTTCTGTCATTTACTTTTAAGTTCCTAACTGAGTCTATCCACAGTTAATACTGATTTGTGTTTCCTTTGTAACATTAACTGTAAAATAAAAATGAAGTTGCTGCATTTTAAGCCTTAGACACGTTGAGATTAGATCACAGTATTCATTTATCTATGACTCTCTCGCAGCACTGACTGGAAGCATCAGCGGCCATGAAAAGAAAAATGGGCATTTTGTCCTTTATTACAGCTGTTAATAAAGAACAGCATAGACAGAGAGAGGATGAAAGTCACGAGGGAGCTGAGAAGCAGGATGAAAGAGAGAAAGAGTTGGTTGGAGAGGAACCAGAGAGGTCAGAGGCTGTCCACCCTGAGAGTGAGGAGGAAGATGTAGGCTGTGAGGGAGAGAGTGAGGAGCAAAAGAGGAACATCTTCTGTCATGTGCACCGTGTGCACTACCGTCAGGTTTGTGGGTGTTGAACAACCCCTCTGTGATTGCAGCTCATATTGTGTGTAAAATGCATTTGAGGCATGCTGACTCTGGACCAAAATGTCTGTTGTTTATATTTAATAAATAGATAAAATAAGACTCTGAATTAACTTATTATGACTTTTATCCTCATGCTAACATTTATTTTCTTTCAGATATCAGCAAGTGTAAGGATGACCCACCTACTCAGCCTCATTTGAGGACATTTCCAGTGACATTAATAGGAGACAGAAGACGCAGCTTTCAGCCAAGCTGGTATGAAAGTAATCCTTGGGTTGAATATTCTGTTACTATGGACTCTACTTATTGTCATGCATGCAGACATTTTAGCCCACCAAGTAGCGCAGGAAGTGTGTTTGACTCACCATGTGGATTTAGGAACTGGAAAAAAGCAACTGAGAGAGGAGGGGGGTTGTCAGTACATGCAAAGTCTGAAAGGCATAAGGATTCAATGATAGCGTGGAGGGACTACCAGAGGGCTGTGAAAGCTAATACAACATTGGCTAATATACTCAACAAGGAACACTGTAAAAGGTTAAAGAAAATCATGAGTATATCAAAACAATTGGTGAAGTGATTTTGCTTGCGTGTGTGTGTGTGTGTGTGTGTGTGTGTGTGTGTGTGTGTGTGTGTGTGTGTGTGTGTGTGTGTGTGTTGACTACAAAAAGCAAATTGTATTGTGCAGATATTTTATTTGTTTGAATGTTTATTTTTCATATGTACAGTTCATATAATTTTCAAATAAATTCACAAACTATAATAATCAACTAGAATTATTTTTTTACTCAAGTCTCGTGTTGCAGTGAAGCATTCAGAATTGTTACCTGAGTACCATAAAAAGTTTTACCATAAAAAGTTTTACCAGTTTTACTTTCACAAGTAAACCATTACTGTATTCGCCGTAAGAGTTTACTTGTTCATTGTCTTTTATTATGATTTTTTTTTCTTGCGCCCCCATGAAAAAATACTGGCCCCACTGTGGCCCCCCTGGAAAATTTGGTCTAGAACCGCCCCTGCTTCAGACAGCAGGTTTTGGAGTCTTATTTCCTGATATTTAGACATCTCACCACTGATTAGCTAACAGCAACCCAACTCCATCTCTGACGTTGATTTTTATCTCCACAAATAGCACAAGCCTGGAGGAGTTCTGCTGTAGTGGAGTTCTTAAAGTGACAATGTGTAATTTTTACCATTAATCTCTGGAAATATCTATCAAAATGTTGTTGATAATGAATAAAATAATGCCCATTTGTTGAAAAATATACTTCACAACTTATATGGAGTCTTAAATACATGGGAGTGGGTCTAAGTCTCTGGGGGACGCCATGTTCTCCAGGCCCAGCAGCCAGGCTCCACCAACTGCCTCCAGGCCCAGCAGCCAGGCTCACCAGTAGCCTCCACGCCCAGCAGCCAGGCCCCACCAGCAGCCAGGCTCCACCAGCAGCCTTCAGGCACAGTAGCCAGGTTCCACCATCACCTCAATACCAGCCACCTGATCCAACAATCAGGCTCAGCCTGGGGCTCCAGGCTCCAGATTCACCGGCAACCAGGACTGAGAGAGAGCAGCCAGGCTCTCCAGCAGCCTCTAGGCCCAGCAGCCAGGCTCCACCAACAGCCTCCAGGCCCAGCAGCCAGGCACCACCAGTAGCCTCCACGCCCAGCAGCCAGGCTCTCCAGCAGCCTCCAGGCCCAGCAGCCAGGCTCCACCAACAGCCTCCAGGCCCAGCAGCCAGGCTCACCAGTAGCCTCCATGCCCAGCAGCCAGGCTCCACCAGCAGCCTTCAGGCCCAGCAGCCAGGCTCCACCATCAGCCTCCAGGCTCATCAACCAGGCTCCACCAGCAGCCTCCACGCCCAGCAGCCAGGCTCACCAGCAGCCTCAAGGCCCAGCAGCCAGGCTCCACCAGTAGCCTCCACGCCCAGCAGCCAGGCTCCACCAGTAGCCTCCACGCCCAGCAGCCAGGCTCTCCAGCAGCCTCCAGGCCCAGCAGCCAGGCTCCACCAACAGCCTCCAGGCCCAGCAGCCAGGCTCCACCAACAGCCTCCAGGCCCAGCAGCCAGGCTCACCAGTAGCCTCCACGCCCAGCAGCCAGGCTCCACCAGCAGCCAGGCTCCACCAGCAGCCTTCAGGCACAGTAGCCAGGTTCCACCATCACCTCAATACCAGCCACCTGATCCAACAATCAGGCTCAGCCTGGGGCTCCAGGCTCCAGATTCACCGGCAACCAGGACTGAGAGAGAGGTAAGCCTAATACAATGGCCCCTCCTAGAAAAACAGAGAAACTCGAGGAAGATATGGAGGAAATTAAAAAATCATTGAATTTTATGTCAGCCGAGCTGTCTAAGCTAACAGTACAACAGGATCAACTACTGTCATTAATGGATGAGGTTAAGACACTGAAATTCAAGCTTGCAGAAAAGGACAAGAAGATCATGGTATTGGAACAGAGGGTGGATGAACTGGAGCAGTATACCAGAAGGGAAGACTTGGTGATAACTGGTTTGGAAACAAGACATAGGACTTATGCCAGAGTTACTGGAGATAGAAACACAACTGAGGATGCTCCACAGGAAGAACTCCAGTCACTAGAACAACAAGTGTTGAGCTTCTTGCACAGTAAGAACATTCATATCCAAAGTGATGCAATATCAATCTGTCATACCCTTCCGAGAAAGGCAGACAAATTAAAACCAGTCATCATAGTGCGATTTACCAGTAGGAAGTACAGAAATGAGTTGTTGAGGCAAGCAAAAAACTGAAAGGTACAAATGTGTACATAAATGAACACCTGACGAAAAAGAATGAAACAA